AGCTCCGCCTCCGGCTGCTGCCGCCAGGGCCGGCGCCCCTCCCCCGCGCCGCCTCTTCCGGGTCACGCGCGGCAAGCGCTTCCGGGGGCGCCCCGCCCGGAGCCAATCGCTGCGCGGCCTCGCGGGGACGGACCATCCTCAGCGCTGCGGGGGGAGGAGCGGTGCGTACCATGCGTGCGTGTCGGGGCGGGGTGACGTCATGCGCGCCGCCGGCTCGCGACCACCCGGCGTCCTGGGTTTCTCGGCTTTAGGGAAAAACAAAAAATCCCCAGTTTGATGGAAAATACAGCAAAAGTAGCCCCAAATCCACATTTTTGCATGATTAAAATGAAACGCCGTTATGATACACACACACACACGTACGTATATATATACATATGTACACGTATACACACACAAATATAGATACACATATATACATATACATACACATACATAGATACATAGATACATAGATACACGTATATACATATGTATACACATATATACATATATGTATATACATATGTATGTATGTGTATCTATATACATACACACACATCTATATATTAGTAATCGGCTCGTGGACAGAGGTGATATCTTTTATTAGGCCAACAAGCTATTTGCCAAAAAAAAGGTCTTTCATTGCACAAACACCCTCATCAGGGAGAAGATTGTACGAGTTCTCCTGGGTGGAAATGGTAGTTTGTATTTCATAGGATTTCACAGGGGGTCAATAGATGGAAAAGCCTCTGGGTAGCAGTTCTTAGCTGGTGAGGAGTCTCAGCTCTCCTGTGAGGCTGTGAAGTATTATCTATATATGAGTGGTGTTACAGGCTTGGCGGTACTTGGCAGTACTACGCTCGCTAGCACCACAGCCGGAAGAGACTTGGGGGTCACGATTGACCACACGATGAACACGAGCCACCAATGCGATGCCGCAGCCAGCAAAGCAAATAAAACTCTGGCTTGCATCTACTGATGCATCTCAAGCAAGACTCAAGAAGTCATCCTCCCTCTGTGCTCAGCCTTGGCGAGGCCGCAGCTGGAGCACTGCATCCAGCTCTGGGCTCCGCACTTGAGAAAGGACGTGGAAAGGATTGAGAGAGTGCAGAGGAGAGCCACACGCATGATCAGAGGTCAAGAGAGCAGGCCTTATGAGGAGAGGCCGAGAGCCATGGGACTCTTCAGCCTGGAGAAGCGAAGGCTCAGGGGGGTCTTGATGGCAGTCTGTAAGCCCATAAGGAGCGTGCATCAGGATCTGGGAGAACATCTGCTCACCAGGGCACCCCATGGGAAGACAAGGTCTAATGGTCACAAACTGGTGGAAGACCGTTTTAGACTGGACATAAGGAAAATCTTCTTTACCGTCCGAGTCTCCAGAGTCTGGAACAGACTCCCCCCAGAAGTGGTGCAAGCACCTACTCTGGATACATTCAAGAAACACCTGGATACTCACCTTGCTGGGGTGATCTGCCCCCGGCTGACTTCCTGCCCCTGGGGCGGGGGGCTGGGCCCGATGATCTTGCAGGGTCACTTCCACCCCTGATATCTATGAAGTCTATGAAATGCGTGGAAAGGCTCTGTCTTCATAAAGTCCCCAGTGAGCAGTGAAAATGCCAGGCAGGTCTGCAATTCCAGACACAGCTCTGTTTCAATGACTCTGGGGAGCTGCACTGCTGCTAAAATGTCCAGCTCCACTTACACACACCCACGCACTGCTTAGTCCACCGGTGTCTGCTTGCGCCTGTGGAGGGCTGCATGTGCACAGGTGATGAGTAGACCAGGGCCCCTGTGAGCAACGGGAGCTCCACATTTCACAACCCAGCCAATACTGTCACTGACCCCAAGACGCCTGCACTGACTCCTCCCTGCTTGTAACAGACCAACAGGATTAAGTAATTACCTACCTCCCTCTGCAGACAGAGAGGGATGTAGATAAGTATCTAGACTTAAGTATCTAGCCTTCATGTTCTGGGTTCGCAAGGAATGGATTTCATGTTGACTGGGACTGGACCTGCAGGCAGAGGTCTCGATAGACTCTTCTACCCTCATTAAGTCCCCAGTTAGGATTTGTAGATATTGTTCTGTTAGGGGGGAACCTCACGATCAGATCATGACTCTGACCTCCCAGGAAGTCTGGCTGGCAGATCCGGGCACGTTATGGTGATGAAGTGCTCCCTGTTCAGAACCGCACGGGCATTATTTAACTGACCAAACCTGTTCCTTAGGTACCCGTGTACACTCCTTCTGCTGTGCCTTGGGATACCAGAGGGCACTAGGGGAAGGGCTGTTATGACATCAACCAGACAAGTGAAACATTCACATCTCTGCATGATGTGTTTCTATTTACAGCTCTGAGGATGAACCAATAACCTGTGGCACAGGCCTGAATCATTAGGAGTTGATTGTCTGAGCAGAAAAAAAACTATCAACCCCTAAACCCGGAGACGTGGGAATCATCATTGTAATTGTCAGGAAATACAGGCAAACCTCAGCCAGAAACCAATTTAGAACCACAGCTTGAATCCCAAGCCTGTCGACAAGAATTACTCAGTGAAATGTCCCCATCCATGAAGAAAGTCCTGATAAGATCAATTCTGCTCACCCGGACAGAGCCAGGCAGGCATGTGTTGAAGAATTTGGGGGCTGCTGGATGTTTCCGGTAAGTAAAAGAGCAGGGTGCCTGGTCATTTGCAGAAGGGAGTCACAGATAGATGAATGATTATGCCCTGTTAAATATTCCCAGTAATGGTGGGGGGTGATGAGCTGTTTTCCCTTCTCAGTGCACTGCCTGTGTCCACTGCCAGTTGGTTTTGTCAGTAAGCTGAGGAGCTGAATATTTGCTCCCTAATAATTATCATTTAGAAATAGGGTCACAATCCTGAGAGATGTCAAGCGTCCATAACATAGGTGCAAAAACCAGTCATCTGACCCAAAATGAGCATCAGATATTTTCAAAGTCAGCTTGTCAAATATTCTAACCCATTTGTAGCATTTGAGATGTACTCTTAGCTCTGCTCCTAATTGATCCTATGTTGCTGTTGCTCTGGCACACACTGTTCCTCACTGAAATCAGGGCCACATTGGTCTAGGCACAATAAACATCACAGGCAGAGGCAGACCTGGCTTCAAAAGGCCTAAAAGCTAACTAAAAAAACCAGACACAAGTAAATAAGGAAAGTATTATCTCATTTTGCGAGACACAAGGATTTCTTAGGGTGATATCTTTTATTAAACCATTGCGTAGCTGAGATAGAATTAGACAGGCTTGCAAATGCAAGACATTCATCAGGTCACCCATGACATTTTGTTCTCTCGGCTGTCCAAAAAGCATGAAATTCAATATGCAAACTTTCAAAATGTAGTTCAAATACTTACTGAGAAAAGGGCAGCTCTGGAAGCCCAAATCCAAAGTGCTGAAGGCAGATACAAGACACTTACAGCCAATAAGCTAATGCAACAAGAACTGTGTGAGGTGACGGAGAAAGCAGCAATTCAAAATGTGGAGCTAGGACTGCTCTTGAAAAGGTCCCGATGACCTGATGAAGAATGTCTTGCATTTGGCCACATCATGAAGAGCTTCTTGCATTTGAAAGCTCGTCCAACTTTATCTCTGCTACACAGTTGGTCAAGTAAAAGATATCACCCGAAGAAATCCTTGCCCCTCGCATCATTTCTGGACTATCCTGCCTACATCACTCTTACACTACCTTATCTCACTTGTGCAGCTGGGGGAGAAAGGAAGAGAGAGAATTAGGTGACTTGTTCAGGGTGAAAGGAGTTGGTCACGTGGTAACTGAACATGGATTTTTGAAACCCCTTGCTTACAGCTCCTTGCACGGGCAGTGTTACAGAAACACAGTGCTCCTAAAACAGTCTCCTGTCTCTGTAGGTGTTTTCTAAGCACCTCTTCGCAATCCTGGGCAATGTGAACTGAGCATATGACTGTTTCAAAGGGGATAAAAAAGATGGATGCAGAGACAGAAGAGCACTTCTTCCTCTCTGGCACTTGGGATGAGAGAAACGGAGGGTACTTCTCCTCTACAAAGTCCCCAGAGGAAAATGCACACGGCTCTCTGGATTCTGCAGGTGACACACTTGGGTGGGGGGAAGACCAGCGCGGTGTACAGAAGCACTGGTAGCAACACCGCCTTCGTGAGTACCATGTGCCCCCCCCATGGAGAGGCAGCTCGCGTGCCACAGACCCAATCTCTGCTTCACTTTGGCCTCCTTCTTCTCCCAGGCCATCCTTCCGCTCAGCTCGGGGTCAAACTCCACCCCGAGGATCTTAACCCCCCTCATGGGGGACCGAGACCCCCCAGGGACTCCTTTTGACAGCAGCACTGGGTATTTTCCCAAAGGCATCTCCACTGAGCTGAGGGAGAGAGTCCATAATTACGACCCCTCTCTGGTCCAGCACACTGTTTGGGGTGAGTGACAAATACTGGTATTTTGT